CCTTGCTAAACCGATAATGTAGGGGCCTCAATAATTATCAATACTAGTTTGTGGGGTTCCTTATTATAGGTATAGTATAATATACCCCCCAAACCCTATGCTAACTATTAAGACCCCTACAATGCCCCTTTACAGAGCTCCGGGGCTTTGGTTGCTTTTTTTTTGGAGGGGCGGGGCCTGCAAGACCCTTTGCGGCCTTGGGTTCAGGGCTCAGGGTGTAATTTTTTGGGCCTCAATAGTTATCAATACTATTTTGGGGTTCCTTACGGTGATTGTATTTTTGTATGGCCCAAAACCTTATTCTAACTATTGAGGCCCCTGTACTCGATAGTTTGGATATAGGCTGTGGCATGGAAGGATGTGAGTAGGGTTCGTGACTTGGAATGATACACTACGTACGGTTCCGTCGGCTTTCAGGACCCTGAAAGCTAAGAAACACAATCCATAATGTAGGGGCCTTAAAAATTTCATGTATTGTGTTGGGGGTTCCTTATGATAACTACAGTATAATTGGCCCCAAAGCCCTATTCTAAATATTAAGGCCCCTACATTAGAGATTCCCGAATGCAGCCCTGACAGTTGGAGCCGTAGATCCTGTAATCCTCCGTTGAACCCTAAACCCCAGCGGAACCTCGAAGCCAGTGTGCTCTAAGCCGCCTACACCATCAAAATCCTGAAGCCCGAACCTTCTTAGCCTTTCAATCCTGCACAGTCTAACTTCTAGATCTCAGTGAACTTACGACATCCAGCAAGCCTTCAAAACCTTGCATGAGCCAGGCCGAAGACCCCCATGAGCGCCCCAGAAGACTTGTTTATAAAGACCCACACCCCCCAAAGCTTGCTGTAGGCTGCCGACGCATCGAGCATGCTTCAGCGGCCGCCGATTGAGGCGGCAAGCGTGGGCAAACCTCAAAGGTTCGCAACCACAACCCCAGGATCTAAAACCCAAAACCCTAAACCCAACACCCACTAAACTCCCAAACTCCAATCCTCAGGCCTTCAACTTCCTAAACTTTAGGCGCCGAGCCCCAAGCCTTAACGGCGGAGACCCCGTGTACGCTATGTGTACGCTATCTGAACTTTTTAGTTTGGGTTTGAGGGTTTGGAGCTTTGGGGTTCCGGTTTCGGTGTCTAAATCTAGGGTTTGTCTTCGTGTAGGTGGGATTTCATTAGTTTCGGTTTTCCGGTCTTCGGTCTCACATGGTTGTACTCTTGAACAGCGGCGTGCTTCAGAAGGGGGAGCAAGGGCTTCCATTGGCGGCAACACCTGTCTCCGGACAACACCGCATGAAGCCCTGTGTGGGGCTGCCCTTACTGTTCAGAACAATATGGAAGCCTAAATCATTACCAATATGATTCCTTTAGGGTTCCTTGTTATAGCTGTACTAGAATATACCCCAGAACCGTATTCTAACTATTAAGGCCCCTACACTATTGACGGCCAATCTTCAATTGCTGCTCCCTAATCTGCCACTGGTCAGGCGGCCATGTCGGCACGACCCCACGTCATAGGGCTTCGACGGGAATCCGCAGGGGCCCTACGGGTTAAGGGGTTTTACAGCCCAGCTTGTCGCAAGGCGAAGAGTTGACGTGACAGCTTCTCCTCAGGTGCCCGTTTATCGACGTGGCAAAATTGCTTCATTCAAAACCTCTTATTCAGGCGTCCGGCTCTCAGCACTGGCTGGACTGGAAGCAACCCTAAATCCTGGACCTAAAGGCCCTAAACCCTAAAAACCGTGATGCCTGCTAGACTCAGGTGCTTAGCGTGGGCCAACCAGCCCAGGACGTGGGGATTTCTGAGGTTTGGGGCATGGAGTTCCGATGCGGTTCCGGGAGCTAATTTAGTATAAAAAACCGTGCAGCAACTGTAGAGTAGCCTTTCTAGATCGCTCTAGGCTATAATGGCTTTGGCATTCTTGCATCCTTCTCTTTAGGAGTTTCGCGTCGTTTTCGACACGGGCTCTGGGAAACTTGGCAAATTGGATGTCTGAGTTGCATTGGGTGGAGTCATCCGACAGACCCGAAGCCCCTGCTCAGGAGTGGCTCCGAAACCCCAAACCCTGCAATCAGAAACCAAGGAACATCATCCTTCCTGCTGCGGAGTGCCTTGGTGAGCAAGAGTGCTGTCCGAGTCCTATCAAGTGACGAAGCGCCAGATGCTGGGATCAGGAAGAGTAAGTAAATTTATCCATGCTGAATAGCATAGTGATGACAGTAATCGTCGTAGCGCTTTTTATCGGTGCAGACGGAGCAACCGGATAGCAGCAGTGGTTCGTAGTTTTTGACGGGAGTCAAGACAGTTGAGCAAGTAGATTGCCCAACAAAGCACAAGCAACGGGATCAGATAGCTGTTCAGACAATTCTGCTAACCTTAAGCGCCTTAACCCTAAACCCTAAACCTTTTCCCTCTTCGATAGCACCGCACCACGCCTCTTCAGGTGCCACAGCGAGGCATGCCTGATGCCTCACCGAAAACGGTACAGCCCCTCGACTGCCTAGGTTTTGCCTACCGGAAACTCGAATCCTCTGTTACGGGTTCAGCTTCTTGCCCGTGGTTCCTCACGTTTCGCAGCCAAGGCTGCAGAGAGGCTTGTAGAGATGTCTGGAATTCTCGTGTGTTTAGTTCGTGGCTGCTGAGCATCAGGCCACACGACTTTGGCAGCTTCGCTATATAAGGTTTCCGCCAGACATGTGCTTGCCTGTGTTGTCGTTGATTCTGAATCCTTCCGGAAGCCGCATGCCCAAAAGCGGAGTGACCCCAACACCCTAAACCTGCTCGAAGCCCGAAAGCCGAAACTCCAAATCCACAAGCAAATCCAAACCTTCAACCCCATTCAACAGTCGAAGCTCGACATCGTGAGCCTCAAATCCCTCCTCCTCTTCCCTCGGAGGGAGAAACAAAAGGGAACGCAGGCCAGTCCAGCTCCGTGACGTCGCATCCGATCAACTCGGACGGCTCGCGGGTGCTTGCTGGCGAGCTGGGAGAGCAGGCATCGCCGGGTTCTGCTACTATAATAGGGATCTACAGTAAAGAATAGGGTTTCTTCATTCTGGAAAATTTGATTAAATCCTTTTACAAGAACCCCAGTCTTCTCGGTGCTCTCTTGGGGCTCTGCAAGAACCATGAGGGGTTAGGTTTTTGCGTTCAGACGAGGATCCCCGTAAACCGCTTCCGGAATTCTTTTTTTTTCTGGCGTACCTGGCAAACCCTCACCCTAAATTGGTGTGTTCTTTATGGTCGGATCTCGGGCTGCATAGAGTTTCCAGCTGTTCATAGATTTAGATTTAGGTTTCTGTGTGCTTTTGCAGGGTTGTTTAGGGCGTTCGGGACCCTCAGCCCTGAACCCGAAACCCGGAAAAGTAAAGGGTTTAGTGGGATATGGAGGGAAAGGCTGGTCGGAACACACTCGGCCAGGTCACCATCGGCTTCGGAACTGGCGAAGTCACCGGAGAGCTACCCGGATGCAGCAATATAGGGGCCTTAATGCTTACCAATCAATGCCGTCTTGGGGGCGGGGGGGGGGGGGGGGNNCCCTATTCTGATTATGAAGGCCCTTACATTAATCAATGTATTGGAGTCTTGTCACGGTAAAGGGTTTACGGCTTGGGGGCTGAGGGTTGGGGATTCAGCTAGTTAGCGTGAAGTAGTTCCAGTCTAAGTACCTCAAAAGCAACAGCATGGTATTTACTACGTGTCCCCCTTAGTATGGTGGTTCGAACAAAGTCCTAAGTCCCTGAACAAGACGCCAGCTCAATCCCTAACCCAAATCCCTTTGCCTTTCGGTACGGACGAAGTAGTTTGAGTTTCAAGGGTTTCAGGGCCTACGGCGTGAGAGCTCAGAGTAGGTGTTTTAACAATCAGGATAGGCGTCCTTTAGTAAGGGGGTTCCTTAAAGGGTTCTATGCAGGTTACGACCAGAATTCTGCATGTTAGGGTTTGTGGACATTGGGCTTCGGGCATTCTAGGGGTTGTGACATCTCGACTTCCCAGAGAAGTCTCTAAGGCTCTCTGGGAAATAGAAAAGAACAACAACAGGACCCTGGGCTTAAGAGTTGAACTCTTCAGAGAGTCTCGCTGCGAGGATTGGCTTCACGGTTTAGGGTCTAGGGTTCAGGGTGGGGCTGCATAGCACTTAGGGTTTAGGGTTCAGGGTTTGGGGTTTGAAAACTATCTGTTGTGTAGCGAGTTCTGGACTGTCGACACTCGACACGACCGGGCCGCCCCCTCAGGTTTCAGGGTGGATTTGGGAAAGATTCCATACGTGCGGGGTTTGCTTGCTTGTTGCTACTTTATCCTGGTGCCATGTATAAAGCTCAGAAGCGCCTATCATGTTAAGAGCCCATTATGAAACTCTCAAACTTCTTAATAATTTCTCAACACTCTCAGCCAACAGGAGATGCCATCAAAACAAGGAACAACTCAAGCCCTAATGTTTAGAATCTCCCGAAGCTCAAGTTTGCCAAACTCCCCAACCCCCCTTCCCCCCAAAACCCCTTGCCACGCTCCTTCCCCACACATCCTCCAAAGATGCGCAGCCTGCAGGTTTGCCAGAGACCGAGTCTGCTTCGGGTCCAGCCAGACTCCCTCTTGGCGAGTTGAGAAAAGCTTTCTTTGCTCGTGGGGATTATATAAACGGTAGTTTGATTAGGAAGCTTTCTGTTTTGAGGGTCTTGCTCAGGCATGCTTCAGTATTCCGTGCCTCGCAAGCCCGCAAGCATAACTTCGTTAGGAACCGAAGCCGCCTTGAGCAATCACGAACTGTCGAAGTTGTAGCACGGGTCGTTGTGCTCCTCGTCCTTAGCCAAGAGAATCATGGCAGACATAGTGAGAGTCATAACACATTTACACATACTATTTTGGCGGGTCCTGATTACAATAACAGTATAATGGGCCCCAAAACCATATGCTAATTATTAAGACCCCTAATGCCAGCACCGACGCCATCATCTTTCCACCTTCAGCGGGATGGTGATGACGATGCGAAAGCTACCGAGCCAAGGAACACTTCCACGAATGCCACTGCTCCCTGGTTGGAACAAAGGTAAAAGATCAGATGTTCAATGTACTCTTAAGCCTTCAAAGGATTGATGTCCGTCTGATTTGTGGGGGTCACTGGTGGCCAGAAATGGAGCCATAGAACGAATCTCTAGTTGCCTGAAGCCCAGTTAGGTTCCAAAGACCCCTCTTGAGGTGTCAGTACGAGTTATTTCCGTGATCGCAACACATATAGAGCTGCATTCGATTGTAGGCAAGGCTTCAGGTGTGCCTTCACATTGAACTACAGACTGCCCGAAGGGCACATGAACGTCGTGACGGATATGGTCTCTCATGTACATGCAGATGGCTCTATCTAGATGGCAATCGTGTTTTATATCAAGCATCACCAGCTTCACCAAACAGCCCTGCATCATAAAGAGCAAGACAATGTCTGACATACGGCGAGAAAGCAGAACACATGCTATATGCCCGGGGCCGTCACCAATTGAGTCGATCACGGCCGATATTCGATTCTTGATGTCTAGAGACCCCTTGGCCTGTTGCGTTTAAACACGGTTTGCACGGCCGCTGCAGTAACCCTACCCTAAATCCCGTCCTAGACCCTACACCTTAAGTAAGCCCTAAACTCTGATCCTTCAAGGGAGCCCTAAACCCTAAACCCCACCCTATAATACAGAGGTCTTAATGATTACGATCGGACTTTGGGATACATTACACTACAACTATACTAAAGAACCCCAAAATAGTATAGAAAATCATCATTAAGTCCCCTTCATTAGATCCCTTTAAGGGGTGGCAACCTGAGATCCCGAGGAGCCACTCGAGACTGCCGTGGACTACCGGCCCGTTTGCGTTGAGCCGAGCGCTCAGTCCAGACTCCTAGAGGTTTTAGGGTTAAGGATTTAGGGTTTCGGATTTAGGGTTTAGGGTGTGGGATTTAGGGTTTCGGATTCAGGGTTTAAATTTAGGGTTTAGGGTTTAGGGGCTAAGGCCCAAAACCCTACCACCCCAAGCCGTTAACGTCTTGCAATCTAAGCATTGAACAGCCCCGAAGCCCGAAACCATGAACCCTGCAAGAAGCCCTAAACTCTAAGCCTCATAAAATAGGGGCTTAAGAAGTACCAATACTATTTTGGGTGGGGCTCCTTACTATAATTATAGTATAATATACCCCAAAACCCTATTCTACTCGCACTGATTATAAAGGCCCCTGCACTACACCCCAAGCGCCAAACTCCAGAACCCAGGATGAGCGTCATCGTGGCTGTTGAGATGTCTACGCAGCCCTTCAAGACCTTCCAATTCGACGGAATTCTGGGCCTTGGTCTCTCTGGCCTTACGATGAACAGGCCCGGGTTTAGGTTTCAGAAGGGTTTTTAGGGTTTAGGTTCAGAAGGGTTTCGGATTTAGGGTTCAGAAGGGTTTAGGGTTTAGGGTTCAGAAGGGTTTAGGGTTGAGGGTTCAGAAGGGTTTAGGGTTGAGGGTTCAGAAGGGTTTTTAGGGTTTAGGGTTCAGAAGGGTTTAGGGTTTAGGGTTCAGAAGGGTTTGGGGTTGATGAAATCCCTGCAATGCCTTAGTTCAGCGCCGGGGACCTCTGCCCAATAGCCCAATGGATCCCACCAAGGCTCAAGCCCTAAACCCTAAAGAAGCCTTTAACCACAAAAAAGCCCAAGCCCTAAAAACACAAAACGCAAAGCCGCCTCACCTCCTGTCAGAAACTTCAGCGCCTTCGACATGATCGTGAAATCGGGCATGGCGGCACCGGCCTTGGCCAAGCCTGAACTGAGATGGAATGGAAACACTGTATAGTCTACAGAAGTATAGCGGCCCTACTACTTAGAATAAGCCGTTGCAGCATGTTGCAGTGTGCTTATAATCACGAACCCCAAGGAGTAGTTCTGGCAAGCAGTTATGCGCTGAGTGCATCACAAGGAATCATGAAGCATGATCGTCACGGTAGCAGTCTTCGTATCGGCATATGCAACTTCCGTTGGACTTCATACCCGCGCATCAGAAGGAACTTGAGTCACAGCGAAGCCTCGTGACCCTGCTCGTTTCCTTAGCATTTGGCAGTTGGGTTCGAGCGATCTTCGTGCGTATTCCTTTGATTGTGGTCGTGCCGTTTGTGCACAGCATTAGTCCAGTTCCCAACCCGATCCAATGCGACCCCTTCCCAAGCAAGAACTTTGGAGCACAATGTCAAGGCGCAGCCCATCTTCAGTGTATTCCTCTCCGACGGCGAGTTTGGTGAGCAAAGCGAGGCACTCTCCGCCATGTAATATTGGTCCTTGATGGTTAGAATCCGGTTTTGTGGGGCTATGAGGAAATGCCGCTTGTTTTGACCGCTGTAGTAGCTCCGAAACCGAAAGCTCATATTGTCCCACCCAGAGCTGCATCACAGGTGGCAATGGGTGGCGTGGATCCACGGCGTCCGCTGCCTGAGACACGGGCCTGCGGGATCTAGGACCAGGCTTGCCCGGAAACTATCCGACCGAAAAGCTCAAGTGCAACGAGACGAGTTCCCTACACCTTGAACCGAACGCTATAAGCCCGAGAGCCTCCCAGCGTGCACGTAACCTGGAGGCATGAACAAACTGGCAAAAATCCGCCTTGGAGTCCCTCTCTGACTATGCCGTAATCTCCCCAAAACCTCTGCGGCCCCTATAAAACCCGTTCAACCCCAATTACAACACTATCAGTAAGTAACCTTCTGCTTCCTACACTCAGCGTTTAGGGCTTTGGGTTTAGGGTTTGGGGCTTAGGGCTTAAAAGGGCTTTGGGTCTAGGGTTTAAGCGCTGAGGGTTTTTTGCTACCGGTCCAAGGCCTGGTGGAGCCCATCTCCTGGAGTGATGTGGCCATGCAGGCCTGCGGGCCGGCAAAAGGAAGTTCGGGGGCCCCAAAACGAGCAACGGCAGTATTCCTAGAGGCTCCCTACTTGAAGGATCATGGGACTTACATATTCTTGGGGTAACTCTACCTATACTTACTTATAACCCCAAGGTGCTTATAACCTTACTTACTAAGTCCCCTGATCCTCCAAGTAGTATCATCGTAGAATGGCTGGCCTGGCCTATTCGCAGTTCAGGTATACACAAGGAGTGCATTACATGGGCCTGAGTAGTTCATCGTAGCATTGTTCGTTAGGGTTCCATACATAGGGGTTCCGAATATACCATGATCGTATAGAGCCCTTCGCAAAAGCGTCTCGGCATTTGGACAGCATGGGCTTCTGCGTTGGGCTGCGGAGGGTTCTGGGATTAGGACCCCCAGTAGTTAGCGGCAATGCTTTCCCTGCCAAATCACTCTACATGTGTCTATGTATAGATGCCTTCATATTTTATACATGTATATATACGTTGACATATGCACATAAACGAAGAAACCAGAACAGAAGCGCCTAGATAAATCACACAACAACATAAGGAAGCAAGTCATTGTGTGGACACACATACATATACATACACACACACATATATATATATATACATACACAGCTATATATATATATATATATTATACATATATACTTATGCACACCGACACCCCTACTTGATTGTGCAATTCTGCGAAAGTGTTGAATCATTGAGATAACGGAATGTCCCGGTGGAGCATTGTGGTTTGCACCGAAACTCGAAAGCCTGCAACCTAAACCCCCCAGCCCTAAGCCCGAAGACTCCATACCTTCAACCCTGTACCTTAAAGCATAAACTCTAGACCCTCAAGACCATCTAACCCAACCAAGCCCTAAACCTTGGCATAAACCCTACTCCCTAATCCCTAAACCCTGGCCCTGCACCCTTCACCCCCAAAAAAAAGCGCATGGTGCCACGCCTGAGGACCTCGGCTACTGGCAGGTGCGAATTCGCTCCATTCGAATCGGCGGAGAGGAGTCGCTCAGCTGGAGTGAGGGTTTAGGGTTTTTTAAAGGGATTTTTGGTTTAGGATGTAGGGGTTCGGGGCTATTTGTTATTTAGGGTTCAGGGTGACGGGCTTCTACCCGATAGCCCAGCACCCATAGACCTTGAGTTATAGGGGGGCCGAGAAACAATAGTAGTAGTAATCGTAGCAATAGTTACAACAATAGTCATATTGATAGTGCCAACACGCATAATATTGTCAATAAAGCTATTGATAACAATAAGAAGAATAATAGTAACAAGAATAGGAATAATGTTAAGAATAACAGTAACAATGGTAACAATACTCATATGGTTTGCGGTATATTCCTTAGGGACATTGGGCTCAATCGGTGCAACTTTTCCGGGCTTACTGTATCCTCAGCGGAAAAATGAGCAAAAGACACAAGGCCCTCACTCAGCAAGGTCCCTGTAGCCCTATATCATTACACTACAATCCACCCAAAAGTCCTTGTCTACTCATAAAAGCGCCCTAGCTTGAAACCCTAGACCTACTAAACCCACATAAGGACCCTTCCCTTTTGAAGGAACCCAATTCCATGCTTTCAGGCCTCCGTATCGCACAAAGAGATCCTCCATGGGCCACCCTAAACCCCAAACCTGAACCAAGGCTGGATGTCTGCTTGGACGGCACCTGCCGCGGCGTGGTGGACACCGGCACCTCGCACCTGGGAGTACCCGCTCCCTGGGACAAGGAGTGAGACTTTAGGGTTTAGGAGAGAACAGCACAGAGTCTGGGTGGCTTTAGGAGGATTGGGTTTAGATCTTTAGGGTTTCACTCTCACAGACAGACAGACAGACAGACAGACAGACAGACAGACAGACAGACAGCCAGTCAGACAGACAGACAGACAGACAGACAGACAGACAGACAGACAGCCAGACAGCCAGACAGCCAGACAGCCAGACAGCCAGACAGCCAGACAGCCAGACAGACAGACAGACAGACAGACAGACAGACAGACAGAGACAGAAATACATCTATACAAACATAAAGATATATGC